GGAAAAGAAGGAAAGGAAGGAAGGAAGGAAGGAAACATTGGTTGCCTCCCGTACATGCCCCAACTGGGGATTGAACCCACAGCCTAGGTATGGGCCCCGGCCAGGAATCGAACCTGCAGCCTTTTGGTGCATGGACGACGCTCCAACCAGCAGAGCAGGGCTTGAGATCTTTTTCCCGTCTCCTTTTCCTGCCCACCGCATTCTGACTGCTGGAACCGTGCAGGAGTGAAGAAGCTATAGAATTGCCGTAAACGTGTGACTGACAGAGACTCCTGATATAAGGTCTCCCCTTCTCTATGGATGAAACATTGTAAAGCACCAGAATGTTCTTTGAGAAAGGGGGCGGGGAGGGAGAGATGGGGGCTGTAGTGGTGTGTGAACTATGCTCTTCGTGAACTCACAGCTCTCATGGGGTGTCCTGTGCTTTCTCTTCTGTGAAGGTGCCTAGACACGAAGATCTCGGGGTGGGAATAGTCTCTCTCTCCTGGGAACAGATACGCTGAAAAGGTCATAGGTTAAAAATGGGAATTATCTGTACCACCCAGCCTTTCTTAAAACTAGGAGGTACCTAAGGAATAGGAAACATAAATATATATTTTATGATTAAATTCCAGGGGATGTAGAAAGTAGGACTCCTTGTTCATAAACTGATGGTCAGGAATTTGATGCTCTAGTTTTATAAGCATTTTTATCACCGTGTCGTCATACTTATTAAACATGTGATTAGCTCCTGTAGAGAAAGCTTTATATGTTTTGAGATTTAGAAATAGGTGAAATGTTAAATTTCAAGAAATATGGTAGCTGCTTTTCTCTTGCCTGGCCCTTTTATTTCTGCAAATACAGATGATAAATGAAGGTTTTGAATTTACTTTGAATTAGAAGACAAACTTAGAGCCTTTACTGGCATCTCAGTTATTTTTAAAGGTGTCTTTAAGGGAGTTTTGTATCAATCCAGTTCTTTCTGATTTTTCCAGAGTGCTCGGTATAAATGAATGGCAGAATACAGGGTTCCAGTATGATGTCATCAGCTGCTTGAATCTGCTGGACCGCTGTGATCAGCCCCTGACTTTGTTAAAAGATATCAGAAGTGTCTTGGAGCCAACTAGAGGCAGGGTCATCCTTGCCCTGGTCTTACCCTTTCATCCCTATGTGGAAAACGGTGAGTGTGGTCAGGCTGCCTCTTCCCAGCATAGGTGTTTGCTGGGGTTTCATTCTGTTTCTTAGGAGAGCCTGGAATGGAAAAGAGTAAAGTTAACTGTGGAGAGCACCTCCCCGCTGAGTGCGTCTCAGTGTGGGCTTGTTAACCCTCACCCGAGGATATATATATATATTTAAATATGTGTTATTGATCTCAGAGAAAGAAATGGAGAGAGAGAAACATCGATCGGTTGCCTCCTGCTCGCCCCCGACTGGGGATCGAGCCCGCAACCTGGGCCTGTGCCGACTGGGAATCGAACCCCGATCTCCTGGTTCATAGGTTGATGGTGAGCCGCTGAGCCACACCCGCTGGGCGTGATGATATTTTTCCCATTGAGTTTTAGAGAGAGTTGAAGGGCGGGAGGTGGTGGGGAGAGGGCGAGGGAGAGAAACATCGGTTGGTTGCCTCCCACATGTGCCCCGACCTGGGCCAGGGATTGAACCTGCAACCCAGGTACATGCTCTTAACCGGGAATTGAACCCGTGGTCCTTTGGTGCACAGGATTGGTGCTCTAACCACTGTGCCTCTCCAGCCAGGGCTTGATGTGGGTTTTATAGAACTCTAGTCCCTTTGCAGTGGCAATAATTACTGCTCAGTTGGGCCTGCCCACTCCAGATGGGACACCTAACATGGGCCCGTGTTTTCTGCTTTTACATGGAACTTGCACCATAATTAGCTTATAAGCTGAGTCAAGCAATAAATGATGCCTTTTAACCTACCCATATGTGTCATAGCTATATTGTATTTTACATCTCTTATCCCAGGCTCTAAAAGTGATAAATGCTGTTACCTGTTTTTCCCCCTTTGTGTCCCAGCATGTGCCATTTCCTTGTGTAGCAATTGGTTTTTCGCTCACATGGTCTTGCTCTTCAGCAGTGTTGAATGAAGACTATGCTGGAGGAAATGGTTTGGTTTCTCTGTTGCTTCCCCAGCGACAGATGGCAGTAATCACGGTGACTCATAGTCTTGGCTAACCTGGGCTGCATTGCAGGTCATGTTGAAAGTTACGACTTTAAGCCTCTTGCGTTTTTGTAAGTTAATGTACAGTAATATAAAATTATTTATTATATAAGCAATACATGTTAATATTTTAAAATCTTTAGTTTCTTACAATTTTACTGCCTAACGCAGGCTGGGGTTCAGAAACTCTAAGAGCTTGCAGACATTTTAGAGCAATTCATTAATATTTGTAGCGCCACGGGCAGTGAATGTCTGAAGGCCTGGGCCTGAGGATGGTGCTCTTGCTCGCGTGCGGCCGTGGGTTTGTGCTGCTGCTCACCTGCGCCTGCCTGCCTCCTTGTCTTTATTTCCCCTCACGTTTAGGCTGTTCGTTTTTAATGCTTGTCTTACCAGATGGTTTGTAGATCTGTGTTGGTGATAGACCAAGTGGAGAACACTTTGGACGTAGGAGGGTGGGAAAGAGAGTAGACAGATGCCCCCCAGGTCCACTTTCACATTCCTGTTGCCGAATTGTTTGCCAGGTAAGAAAAGGACTGCTTTAGGCATGAGAGGCCCTGTATCACACACGTCGTACAGTGAGAACCCAGTGAGCGCCGCACCTGCGTAACCGCGCCCCAGCCCGCCTCTGCACAGCCCCCGTCATCAGGTGTGAGCCCGGGTTTCCTGCTTCCTGTTGGGCAACCACATGGGCAGAACTTAGTGCAACTTCCCGGCACAGCAGGAGGTGGAAGCGCAGGGGAGGAATCATCAGTTTGGCCATGAGTTTTACTTCCCTGTGCTTCTGACACTAAAAATTGAGAGGAAGTTGCATTGGACAAGAGGGTGGTTTCCAGTAAGGGCAGAAAACAAGCTCCTTCCTGGGGGGACACAGAGTTGCCTGTTGAGTCCCGGAAGTCTGTGGTGACACACGGCACACCTGGAATGAGAAGCTTTGTGCTGTGGGTGACCTGGGGTGGCCCCCCGTTTTGCAGGCTGCTCCTGAACTCCATCGCCTTCCTCACTCTGGGTCCCTGGTTAGACTCTGATGGTTTCCAGGGGGCACAGGACTGGGAGGCACAAGGAGACTTGCTGTGTGGGGTTGTGAATAATGGGCTGTTCTAAGGATAGCTGGGTGCGCTTTGCATACTTGGCTCAGTTTATTTTTTAACAAAAAGCAATTGTAGATTAAATTGTTTCTTGTGTGTAATTTTTTGAGATTGACCCACAGTGATTTTGTTACTTAGGTTAATTTGGAAAAAAAAGCAAAATGTGTTTTTCTAATTTCAGTTTATTTGTTTTAGTGATGCAGCTTTGGTTAGGGGTCATTAAATCTACTGAGAATTGTTTTAAGCATCAAAAAAGTAAAAAATATATAATCAAGAAAAGGAGAATTATATTGCAAAAATGAAAATTTAGTGACATGTATAATTTTTTAAAGTTGTAATTTTCAGCCCTGGCTGGGTGGCTCAGTTGGTAGGAGCATCGTCCTGTGTGCCAAAGGGTTGTGGGCTTGATTCTGGGTCAGGGCTCACGCCCAGGTTGTGGGTTAGATCCCCATTCAGGACACGTATGGGAGGCAAGTGATCGATGGAAACACACGTGTTCTCCTTCACATCCATGTTTCTCTCTTCCTTCCTCTCTCTCAGGTCAATAAAACTGTATCCTTGGGTGATGATAAAAATTATAATTTTCATAAAAAGGTAACTCATGATAAAAGGAGTTCAAGCCACTTGCAAGAGGGTATGTAACGAATAGTTTCTCACCCCTTCCCAATCCACAGTCTTGTTCAGGTTCCTTGAATATTTTCCCAAAGATGGTCTATGCATATGTAAGTATGTGTGTACACAGACACATGAGTTATGTAATTAAAGCTCATCGTAAATACTTTTGTTGCCACATAAATATACCTAGGAAATTGTTCCTTTACCAGCACATTTGAGTCTACAGCATTGCCGGGTGCAAGCAGTGGTGTGCCGGAGCTGGTTTTACTGGCTCATGGGAGCTGGTTATATTGGCAGGAGCTTGGTTCCTGGTTCATGGCCATGACTGCAGCTGACCATGGTGCAAGGACTTCCCTGTAGACACTGGCACACACTACAGGTCGCCTCCCTCTCAGGGCAGGTTGCTAAGTATCTGCCTGCACCCACTGGGGGTGTGATAACTGCTCCGGAAGCCCCTTCCAGATGCCAGCGCTGGCCTTGGAAATAGTGGCGACATGAGCCTTCGCATGCAAGTCTGCGCACATCGGGCAGCTTTCTGCTTCGGGAAACAGGAGGAGCCGTTACAAGGAGCTTTAAAAATTCAGAGTTTATTTTAGAAAAGTGAGTCTAGAGTTGGTTAGCTCAGTGATACACCTGCTCCATGAAGCACAGAGCTGGCTTGCCCGTCTTCGTGTTGATGTCCCCCTCAGAGTCACAGATGGCTGCTTTGTGCTAAGCCTCACGTGTAGGCTTGAAGGGGGGGCGTTCTCCCCCATATGCCTATTTGTTTTCTTAGCAGTGAGGGGAACTTCTTTGCCCAGAAATCTCCCCAGCACTCAGGTCTCCTGGGCACATGCTCCTGCCCAGTCAGCAACTGGCAAGGGCCTTGGATACCCATAGTGCACTCTCCAGCCCAGGTCCGGGCCCGGTGTGGGGTGTAGACATGAGCTCACGCGAAGGTGGAAGGGGTTGGCTGCTAAATACTCTGCCACAGAATATCTTCATTCATGTAAGAAATATTTATTTACCGAGTGCCTCCGTGCTCGGGATACAGTGAGCAAAAACCTGCGACTCCCCTCGCCCTCCCGGAGCTTACGCTCCCGCGAGGAGGACGGACAGTAAACCAGTGGCGGTCGTTGGAGGAAGTGAAGAAAGCGAGGAGGGGACTTCTGAAATTTCGGGCTGGGTTTGGGTGCTGCGATCTTAACGAGGGTGCTCAGGGCGGGGCCTCCGAGAGGGTGTGACAGAGACCTGAGGGGCAGGGTGCAGTTGCGGGGTACGGTCCAGGGCACAGCTGCCCGCCGGCGACCCTCACACCGTGTGTCGAGTCGTCACCTTTCCTCAGTGCTTGAGGTGCCACCCGTATAGTGCACTCGAGCCCTGTGTGTTTGGTATCGTGCCGTTACGGTTTGTCTTCTGTGTCAGTACCAAGCAACTGTAACTGCTGTAGCTTCCCATGCATTTTAATATCAGCACCAGCCGCCCCTCGTCAGGGCCGCCTCAGAGTTTTCTTGGCTTATTTAGCGGATCAACTTTAACAGTAGTGTATCTAGTTCCCCACTTTAAACTTACAGCCTAATTTAGGGAGTGTTGAGCCTTCCTAGCTACTAGTAGGATGTGTCTTTCAATTGGGTCAGTTCTTTATGTTCTGTAGTAACATAAAATTTTCTTCACAAAGACCCTGCACAGTTTTTGTTAGATTTATTTTAATGAGGTGTGTGTGTGATCTTTTAAAAAGGGATTTTCTATCATATTTTTCATTTTTAAATTTTTCCAGCTTTATCGAGGTATAACTGACAAATGAAAATTGCATATATTTCACAGACCACAGTGGTGATGGCCAGAGGAAGGGA